GTTATTTTATGTTTCCATTAAGAGCGTATAGTTTCTAATTTTTCTGTATCCTTATTCAATCTTTGGTATTGTCAGTTTCTTTAGTTTTAGTCATTCTTAAGAGAAAGTAATGGTATCTCATTGTGGCTTAAATTTGCATTGATCTGATGAACCATGATTCTGTGCAGTTTTTTATTCAACATTTGCTTGCTTGCCAGTCCTATAGCTTCTTATATCTGAATCTCTTTAGATTTCTTGCCTACTTTCTATTGGGTTGTTTATTTTCTTATCATTGAATTTTAAGGTTTATTTTTGTAAGTGAATACAAGTTATTCATTAGATATGCCTATTGTAAATATTTTATCCCAGTCTGTGGCTTGTCTTTTTATTTTCTTAAAGGTATCTTTAGAACAGAAGGGTTTATTTTTATAAAGATCAGTGTATCAATTTTTTAATACTCCTAGTAGTTTTAGCTCTTACATTGAGATTCATGATTCATCTTAAGTTAATTTTTGAGTTTGGAGTGAGATAAGGGGTCATTGTTCATTTTAAAAAATGTGAGTATCTAGTCGTTGAGCATCATGTCTTAAATTACTTTGCTTTCCTCACTGAATGCATTAAAAATAAAAATCAATATGGACTCCATATTCTGTTCTATTAATCTGCTATATCTGTCTTGTAGACCTTATCACACTATCTTGTTTCTTTATTAGCATTATAAGTTTTCAAGTCAGATAAATCCTTCAACTTTGTTCTTTTTTTAAGTTTTAGCTTTTACTATTCTGTTATTTGCATTTCTATATAAATTTTATAATCAGTTTGTCAGTTTTTTTTAAAGTCTTTGTGTAATTTTTATTGGAATTGCATGGAGTCTATAGATAAATTTGGGAAAAAAAGAATATCTTAATAATTTTGAGTCTCTGTTTAAATTGGTCTTCTTTAATTTCTCTCAGCAGTGCTCTGTAATTTTCAGTGAAGCATCCTCTGTTACTTTTAGTCCTCCTTCATGTTTTTGTATATTCCCATTGGGTGGATTTTTTTTTAACCTGTATTTTCTAGTTTGCTGCCTAATACATCTTTTCTAGTATTAAACTTGTATCCTGTAATCTTGCTATTAGTTGCTTTGTAGATTGCGTAGAAGTTTATATGAACTGTTATATGTCCTCAGTAAAGGAGGATGGTTTTTTACTTTTCCAAATCCTACGCCTCCTTCCCCTATGCTCTCTCCACTCTGGTTTTGCCTTATTGCTAAGGCTAGTAATTCTGTTATGATGTTAGGTGGAAGTGGTGAGTTTTTTACCTGTTCTTGATCTCAGGTAGAAAACATTCAATATGTTAATATTAGATATGATGTGACCTGTAGGTTTTTATAGTACCATTTATTATATTGAAAAAGTTCCCTTCTATTCCTAGTTTGCTGAGAAGTTTCTTATCATGAAGAGATCTTAAATTTTGTCTTTAGTTTTTCTGCACATACTGAAGTGATCATATGGTTTTTCTCCTTTATTCTGTTACTGTGGTGAATTATACTCAGTGGATTTTGAGTATTAAACTAACCTTGCATTCCTTGGATAATTCTTACTTGGTTATTATGATTTATCCATTGTATATATTGTTAGATTCTATTTGTCAATGTTTTTAAAGAATTTTTAGGTCTGTGTTTATGAAGGTGTCATCAGTCTGTAATTTTCAGTTTTTGTGATGTCTTTCTCAAGTTTTGGAGTTAGTATCATACTGGCTTTTAAAACAAGTTGAAAACTCTTCCCTTCTCTGTAGCCTAAGATGATTGTGGTGGTCTTTCTTATAATTTTGGTGTTATTTCTTCTCTGGTAAAATTCAGAAGGGAAGCCATCTGGTTTTGGATTTTTCTTAATGGGAAGGTCGGTTATAATGAATTCAGTTTGATGAGTTCAGTTCCATTTTAAAATAAATGTAGAGCTATTCTGATTTTATGTTTCATTTTCTGTCCGTTTTCATCTTGAATATCTTGAGAAATTTGTTTATTTTTATTCAAAGTTGTTCATAATATTCTATTATCCTTTTATTATCTTTAGGATCTTTTAGTGATAAACCTTTTTTTTTTTTCATTTCTAGTTTGTTCTCTCTTTTAGCCTTGTTCAGCCTAGCTAGAATTTAATCAATTTTTAAAATCTTTGTGGAAAATCACTCTTAACCTTTGTTGATTTTTCTCTCTTGCTTGTTTCCCATTTCATTGATTTCTGCTCTCATGTTTCCTTCCTTGTACTTACTCTTGAAACTTGGGTCATTGATTTTAGACTTCTTTACTTTATAAGCATTTAAAGTTGTAAATTTGCCTCTAAGCACTGCTTTAAGTATATTTCACACATCTTCATTTGTTAAATTTTCATTATCATTCAACTTGAAACATTTTCTAATTTTCTTTGTGATTTCTTCTTTGATTAATGTCTTGTTTAGAAATATGTTTAATTTCTAATGTGTTTTGGATTTTCCTCTGTCTTACTTTTATTCATGACTAACTTATCTTCTTGTATTCAGAGCTCTACTCTGTATGATTTCAATCGTTTTGAATTTGTTGAGTTTTGTTTTACTGCTTATCATATGGGCTGACTTGGTGAATATACCCACTGTACTTGAAAAAAATACGTGTTCTGTGGTTGTTGGACGTGATGGCCTATATATAAATTTCAGTTAGGTCTGGGTAATTGATGGTCTTGTTCGATCCTCTCTGTCATACTGATTTGTTTTCTAGTTCTATTAATTACTAAAAGAAGAGTGTTAAAATCTCCTATTTAGGTTGTGAATTTATATTTATTATCTTTTTAATTCTGTCAATTTTTGCTGTATATATGTTGAGGCTTCATTATTAGGAACATACATATTAAGAAATATGAAGGTTCTGAGACTTTACCCTATTTGAAAGCTAACAAGTTAGTCTGCAGTAATTTCATAGAGTCTGGCAAAAGACATGAGACTCCTGAGTCAGAAACAAAGGATAATTTATTACTCACAGGATATTGTCATTTTTTATGCCAGTTCCCTAAGAACTAAGTCCCACAGAGAAACCATATGAAGTTTCAATGTTTGTGTTTTCTGTAGTGTTTTATGTGTGGTCCCAGCTGCATGTTTAAGATTTTGTTTTTTGTTGTTATTGTTGTTGTTTTAAGTTTTGTAATTAAAAGAGATTCATGTCTGAGTTCTTGTCTTCCATACTTTCTGTATTTCTATCACATCTTTTTTCTAGATACTTCATATTCATAAATACACATAAAAATACACTGTTTCGCATTATAAGTGAATATCTCTTATATATTCAAGGAGTACTGTTTCTCATTATGCCAGTAGCAAGAGTAATTTTTAGCATATCTGAGAAGTCTTCATGTTTGGGTATTTCATTTCCGATCCACTTTGTTTCTTTCTGAAGATTCAGTTTTTCATCTCATGTCATTTCTTTTCAACCTTAAGAACTTCCTTTAGCATTTTCTCTAGTGTAGATCTACTGGTTTTCTTCCAGTGGAAAGGTCTACTGGTAGGTATTCCTTGGTTTTCTGTTACATCTGAAAGTGACTTTATTTTTCATTTGTTATTGAAGGGTACTTTCACTGGGAATAGAATTCTGGGATGACATTTTCATTCTTTCAGCATTTCAAAGATGTTGTTCTACTGGTTTCCATATTGTTTTGATTGAGAGTCATTGATGATTCAAATCGTTGTTCCCTGTGTTCACTCTGGCATCTTTAGTTTTCAGCAGTTTGACTGTAATATGTTTGTGTATGGTTTTCTTTGTAGTTATTTTGTTTGAAATTCATTGAGCTTCTTGATCATGTCAATTCATGTTTGTTTACCAACTGGGAGGAATTTTCAGTTTTTTCTTCAAATATTTTTTTCTACCCCATCTTTTCTTGGATTTTTGTTTATGTATATTTTAGACATTTTTTGTCCCATAAGAATGATCTTTTCATGTAAATCTCATCATTTCACCTTCCTGCTTAAAACCTTCCAATTGCTTCTCATTGCAAATGGAATACAATCCACACTCTTCACCATGTTGTTTAAGGCCTTATATTCTGCCTATGACTATCTCTCTAACCACATTTCCTACATCTTTCACTTTATTCACGATTTCTAAAACAGTAGGGTTTTTTATTTCTCTGGAACATACCAGTCATCTGTGCCTTTTCACTTGATGTTTCCTTTACCTTGAGTTCTCTTTCCCCAAATTTCTGTACGGGTAACTTCTAGGAGTATCTGCAAAATTTATTTCTTCAAAGAGGCTTTCTCTGACTGCCCCCACTAAAAGCTGCTGCATGCTGTCAACACACACTTTAGACCCTTATTTCTTTTAATAGTTTTATTAAGATATAATTCACAGACTATAAAATTCATTCACTTAAAATATACAATTCAAAGGTTATTAGTATATTCACAGACACGAATAACTATCACCATAATTGGCTTTACACATACCTATCTTATTTATGCTAATTCCTAGAACCAAGAACAAAGTCTAGTATATAATAGTACATGCTCAATATTTTTTTTCTGAATAGATGACTTCATTGTTTCTAAGATAATTCAGGCATTAGCCTTCAATAAAATATTAGGGAAGTTTTTTGACTACCATCAGTTCTTAGAAGTATTCTTTGAGCTGTTATTTTGAGACCTCTGAAATAGCTTAACCCATATTTTAAGAATTACTGCAGGAAATTATCCAAAAACAAATCTTTTGATATGATGAATGCAAGTCATATACACATTTCCTTAAAAGAGAAGAGTCATCTTTTACTGACCTGACAGTTAGTTGCAAGGGAGCAAAAAGCTGTTCAGAAATACTGCTTTTCGGTTTTCAAAAGTACTCTGACATTGTTTATTTGTTTGAGTCTTTGATGTAGATACAGAACCACTGGTACTTGTTTTATTTACTAATTTTGATAATAGTGAGTTATTCATAAGATTCTGGGCATCCTCTTTCCTTGTATACCTTTCTTGAGGAATGTCAGTTCTGAGCTTGGTTAATCTGTGTTGCCCCCTCTTCTTTATAGGCTTTGATGCGGCCTGGAAGAATTGATAGAATCATCTATGTGCCTTTACCAGATGCAGCAACAAGAAGGGAAATACTTAACCTGCAGTTTCACTCTATGCCAATCAATAACGAGGTTGATCTGAATGAACTCATTCTCCAAACAGATACGTATTCAGGAGCAGAGGTAAGATAATTACCCTCAAAATACCTTGGTGAGAGGAAAGCAGTGGTTTGGGGTCATTAGCAAAGAACATTGCTTGATGCCAGCTGTTAAAACAGGAAATACACTACATGACAGATAGTCACTAAAATTAAATTACATTTTACCTGGCCTACAGTATTTCATTTGCTTTTACCTGGCTTTTCTTATATCTCAAAATGTAGTCTTCAGAGAGTTAGCATAATATGGTGGAGAGATCACTGGACCAAAAGTAAAAGATTCTTCTTTTGGGGCTTCTTGATACAGCAGCTTCCAACCAGTTACACACTTTTCTGAACTTTGACTCCTTTACCTAGCAAATGGAAATAGTGTACAACTTTCCCTACTGTGTTCTCATAGAGATCATAAAAATGAGATTAAGATATCATAAACATACTCCGAAATACAAAAGACGATTTTATTATCTTCTAACTTTTGGAAAATTATCTCAATCTACAAAGATTCTGTGATAAAATCATAAAAGGGACAGCCAGCCTGCTCTTAATAGTAAAAATACAGTTTAAACAAGAACAGCAACACTTCTGTGAAAATATGAAAATTTTAGGTATGGCATATTAAGTAAGACATATTTTTCTCTCCTTAGCAGCTCTTTAATTAGGCTGTTTTTATTTACAGAATAAAATTCCATTAAAATATTTGTGCAACTTTTCTACATGTGTTCAACACAGAAATGTCTTCTGAATACCACTGATATGGGTTTGTACTGGAAAATTAATACTCTCATAAATACGAAGTTGCAGATTCTTTTCATTCTGAATTATCCAGCAGACTGGGACTCCACTTTCTGTTTTGATTGCTGTTATTTTTATCTGTCTTCTATAAAAACCAAAGAGACTAATACATAATAAACCATATGATAATCAGAGTCTTGTAGATAAATTTACATGTGGAATTGGATTTAGTATATCATGCAGTCATAGCTAATAGCAACAACCAAAAAAAATCTCAGATCTACTCATTGTTTCTGCAACTGTGAACTATGTATATTTTATTTTCCCCCTTTAAATGTTTAAATTCCACTGGGGTGGAAAATTCTTGTAGAAAGCTTAAGAAGCAGTTAAAATGGCTTTACATTTAAAGTCCTGTCTAAAACAATAATCTTTATGAGCATCTCTTTGGCATGACCATCCATTAAGTTAAAATGACCATAAAGTTACTGCTAGCTGACTGCTGTAGCATTTCTCGAATTTAGTTTTTGATGTGAGAGCAAAGGCTGGCATCCTGTATATGATATGTCAGTTTACAGGAAACAGCCAGGAGAAGAAACCATAAATCTTTCACTTGAGTGAAGTGGAAGAGCAGTTAGCAAAGTATAAATATGCCTTTCTCACTTTGAAGTAATTCATGATAGTAATGCAGAAGTGCAAAAAAAAAATCAAAGCCAATGAGATCCTGTCTGGCTGAGAAGTAAAATCTCATTTGGTGCCAGGAATTATTGTACCAGCTTGCTAATTCCTATGTAGTACATGCCTTATTCAGTCTGAAATATAAGCACATTCATTTCTGATTAATTTTTATATCAGCTCTTCTAAAAATAGTCATAGAGAAAGTAGCAGACATTTCTGTCCCTCACTTTACATTTCTGTGTCCCATAATTCTTGGATGAGGGTAGGGTATTCCACTGTGGTCCTAATTAGTATATGATTACATTTTTATAGACATTTATTCCAGACGTATGTCTTTGTAGTTCTGTGTTTTCAATTTGGACAAGACAGATTAGTTACCCAGTTTTTGTTTTGAGAGGAGGGTTTGGTCTCAATATTTAGGTAATTCACACAGGTGCCCTATTGTTTGAAAGGAAATACTGTCTTTTTTAAAGTCTTAAAATTAATCAGTAGGAAATTTAAGATAGATTATACTTAGCTTCACATAAAATATAAGGCCTCATCTTTTTTTCTTCTCTGTATCAGAATGAAAATGCCACGACAATGTTTGAAAGCCAAAATTAGTTTTGATGGGTTTTTAAATAGTAAAAACAAAGTCAAAGTTTGAACTTCAGTCATGTGACTCCTACAGACTCACTGCTTTATCACTGATGTAACTAATTTATTTCTTCCCCCAGCAAGGTCATATCCGCACAAAGCCTGCTACATAGAATATACTTTACTAAGACTTAATAAGCTGAAAAAATTATATTTAGGAAAAATAGACTTTCCCTTCTCATTTGTCATATAGGAAATTTCTTATAGCAATGCATCCTGCTAGAGGTACAACCTCTTTTTCAGGGTTGAGTGTCTCTGTGGCCACTTTTGGTATAAAAATGAAACTGCTAACTCAGTTAATTGTCTTCTCAGTAAAGTAGTATATTCAATATTCAATATATTCAGTATTATATAAAATTAATTTTATTTCACTGTACAGTATCAGCTATTTAACAAAAATTTGTCCGGGTGAGCCAGAAATGAGGAAATTACTGGCACTCTGTTTTTTTGGAAACAGAAAATGTTTACTTTAACTGTGGTGAGTATTTTATTTATCTTTTTAATTAAAAAGTTATAGAGGATGATTGGGATGGAGATGATATTGGCACTTATTAAGCAACTGGGATAAGAGGAGTTACTTTTTCAGAATCTTTTTTTTGTCACCTGGTGCTTTTGTTTTCATGAAAGCTTACAGACACCCAGAGTTTGAAATAGCTCCTTATACTGAGTTACTTCATTTTCCCTCCTTAGAAAGGGTCTACAAGGAATTAGAATATATTTTTTAATCCTAAGGAGAGTCCCAAGGGGAAGTTTGTCTCCCGTTGAAAGGAGAAGGTGGTCCCTAGGGAGCATCTTCTGTTGAGAGGCTGAAGCAGGCAGCATCCATCAGCCGCCCCTGCAGCCCACTGTTCCCCCGTGGCCAGAGCCTCATTGTCTTTGGTTTCTTGGCTGTAGCTTCCACTTAATGGAAAAACATGTTGCCATTTAAAAGCAGATGGGAATTCAGCTCAGGAGGAAATAAGAAGTCTTTTTTGGTTATGGCTATTGTTTTCTTTTGCTTTGATTTTTGTTTTTTAAGTTATTTGTAGCAGATTCCACTTCATGTATTTCTGCTATGTCAAATTATCCTAGTTCCTTTTGGAAAACTTTTACCACTGGCAGGAAGTCAGCAATCATAAACATATGCATATGAAGCCATAACTGGGCCCATTACCCGTGTGCCATGTGCTTGAAGACAGAGGTGATGAGTAAGATATGTAATTTCCTCAGTATAAGAATTTGCTGGAACAGGCTGACAATTAATGTCGGTAATATTTAGATTAACTATTTGCATTTGGATGTTATCCTCCCTTTAGTGATTATCTCGTTAAATTGACAAAACATCTAAGAGCCAGGTATTAGCTATATATTTATGAGTAATATAGGCAATCATAGCATTTATTTCGCATATCAAGATTTGAGAATTCAGCTTTCAAGAGAGGCAATTAAATAGGAGAAAGAACAATTTTAATGATACAGTTGGGTAGACTTTTAATAAAATTATAGCTCATTTCTTTCAGAGTTGCTTCAGACAAGTTATTTAATATTTAACTTCTTTGAATCTTAGTTTCCTCATCTGTGAAATACCTGCATAACAAACTGTTTTGAGGGTTGAGTGAGATAATAAATGTAAAAGCAACAAGGTCTGACACATAATGAGTGCTTCATAAATGTTATTTCCCTTCATTTTATCCTCCTTATATCAGTTCAGTGTTTATATTTACCACTGCAGTATTGAATGATGCTGCAATAAGACAGTTTTGCATGTTTTCAATAACCAGATAATTTATCTGAAAGCTGTTAATAAATAATAATTGAGTTTGCCTCTTACACTTTTCTTCAATTGTAGAAATATACTATAGTGACCCTTTTTAGAGTCATCTTATGAATCTAGCTCTAGCAATTTGTTAGAGTTAAATACATTTCACATTAATTTTTCAAAAAGCTTTAACTTCATATAAATTTATTCTTCTTATCTTTGTTTTACTAAAGTGATGTGTCTTGCTCTGAGTTCCATTTTGTAGTCTAAGTCTGGGCCCTTCTGGGTCTAATAAAAGTTCAAAATCTTCATGTCAGCTTGACATTAAAAAAAATCACCTTCCAGTGTGCCTCATTAATTCAAAAAGGGTTCTATTCACTGTGCTTGAGCTATTATAGCTAATAAAGTTGTTGTTCAATCACTCAGTCATGTTCAACTCTTTGTAACTCCATGGACTGCAGCACACCAGGCTTCCCTGTCCATCACCAACTCCTGGAGCCTCCTAAAATTCATGTCTATCATATCGGTGATGGCATCCAACCATCTCAACTTCTGTTGTTCCTTTCTCCTCCTGCCCGCTTTTCTGTCTTGCTGACTATTATTCTTTTAATGTGCTTTCTCTTTTCTCCTACCCAGTGAGAATGAAAGGAGCAACTATAATCGTGTAGGGTATCTGCACTTTTCCTTCATGAATCCTCTTGTGAATATTTTCCCTAATCTAAAAATCAAGATTAATGTACTGGAACCTGGCATAGATTGACTCTTTATATGACCAGCCTAGCAACACATCTGAGATAGGACTCAAGATCCTCAGGCAGGACAGGACACGCTTTGGCTCCCTGTGCAGTGCTGGTGGAGAGCAGTTAGCAGCAGTGTTCACATCCCTGAGTGCCACAGGCACCACGGGACTTCGCAGCCTCCTGTAGATACACCCGCAGTCTGCTTGTCCTGCCTAATCAGAAACTGCCCTGTGAAATCGTGCTGTTGTGACTAGTCTACTGCTCTTATTTGAGATCTTTGTCCCTCCACTCTTTATTGTGCATTTACCCTAAAATTCTATATCCATACCCCAGAGTTTCAAAGTACTCTTTGCTCATACAGCCTACTGAAAGCACTGCTTTGTAATAAAACCATCGTGACAAACCCACCCAAAAATGGCTTCTCCTTTTGAATGCTTTTACTCTGATTTCTGTTTCATTTGTTTGGCTTTTAGGATATTTTCCCTTCTGGTTATTTTAATAAGGACAGCTGCCTCATGTCCCGCCAAACAAACTGTAAGGTTCTCTATGGCAGAAACCAGGTTCTGTGCTTCTTGGACTCCTAGCACAGCAACCACTGTGTCCACTGCATCAGTGAACTATATGGTGGATGGATGATTTGTGTGTTGATTCTAAGTAATCCTAATGAACAAAAATACCAGTTTTAACATTCCCTAAAGTGACACTTGTAGTTTTAAACTTTTTTTGATATTGACTTATCTGAAGTCCCACAGCAAATAAATGTGACAAACTCAGAACCAGAAATCAGATCCTTGAACTCGTCCTGAAAGGCTCTTCCTGCCTCTTGAGTCAACAGAAGGATCTTTGAAAATGTTCCATACTCCCTTTGACATCTCTGATCTTTGATAAAGGTTTCCCTGCTCTTGTGGACAGTAGGTATGAAACATCTTGACACTTTTTTATATGCACTTTTTTTTACAGTTATTGTCTTCAGCTGCCTGGTTGTCATCATCACAAAAATTATAAGCTACTTGAAGTTAGGAACTATGTTTTTCTTTATTACTTACAGTATTTTCCCAGGTATTGTGAATGAGATCTTCAGTTTAGAGGGAAAGACCTCTAAAATAAACAATTAAGTTCTATATAATGTGTTTGTGTGTGTGCTGAGTTGTGTCTGACTCTTTTTGACTCCATGGACTCTAACCCACCAGACTCTTCTGTCCACGGAATTTTCCAGGCAAAAATACTGGAGTAGGTTGATGTTTGCTTCCCCAATGCAATTGTTTATGTGACATGATACAGTGATGTGCAGAATACTGTGGGAGAGGGAAGAAGCTGTAGCTCTGCACTGAGTAGGACTGAAGGAGGGGGTAGCTGATCTGAGTCTTAACAGGTGAGTGGCAGTCCCCAAGTACAGGGGGCTGGGAAGGGGGGCATCCCTGGCATACAGGAAGGTAGAGATGCATCAAAGGACATAGTGTGTTCTGCATTCAGCTACAGGGTGAAATATGAGTAGAAAAAGAGTCTGAGAGTAGAAATGGTAGGCAATAAACCAGGGAAAATGAGTCAGACAAGTGTGAAGGACCTTGAACATCACATTAGGTAGCCAAAGTATTGGAGTTTCAGCATCAGTTCCTCCAGTGAATATTCAAGGGTTGATTTCCTTTAAGATTGACTGCTTTGATCTCCTTGTTGTCCAAGGAATTCTCAAGAGTCTTCTCCAGCACCGCAATTCAAAAGCATCGATTCTTAGATGCTCTGCCTTCTTTATGGTCCAGCTCTCACATCCGTACATGACTACTGGAAAAACCATATCTTTGACTATGGACCTTTGTAGGCAAAGTAATGTCTCTGCTTTTTAATACTCTGTATAGGTTTGTCATTGCTTTTCTTCCAAGAAGCAAGCGTCTTTTAGTTTCATGGCAGCAGTCACCATCCACAGTGATTTTGGAGCCCAAGAAAAGAAAGTCTGTCATTGTTTCCATTGTTTCCCCGTCTATTTGCCTTGAAGTGATGGGACTGGCTGCCATGATCTTAATTTTTTAATGAATTTTAAGCTGGCTTTTTCACTCTTCTCTTTCACCCTCATCAAGAAGCTCTTTAGTTCCTCTTCGTTTTCTGCCATAAGGGTGGTTTCATCTGCATATCTGAGGTTGTTGATATTTCTCCCAGCAATCTGATTCCAGCTTGTAACTCATCCAGCCTGGCATTTTGCGATGTGCTCTGCATATAAGGTAAATAAACAGGGTGACAATGAACAGCCTTGTCGTGCTCCTTTCTCAAGTTTGAACCAATCAATAGCTACCCTGTTTAAATGAATCATGATAAAATCTTCCAGTGCAAAAACCAGATATCCTGAAAGCATGTATTAGGCTATGACTTTTAAGCCAGTCCTCTACCCCTCTCCCTTACTGTTTGGTAAAAACCACGACCTAGACTCCAGTCCTGTCTTGACCACTTACTATAGTATTAATTTGGCCAAATCAGTTATCATCTCTAGAACTCATTTCTCGTATTTTAATAAAAGAGTAGAGATATGGTCTTCATGATCCTTCCTAGTGCTAATAATGTGTGCCTATATATGTCATAGCTTAGAGTAGTCCTGTTCCTTAGGGATTGGACCTCCAAGGACATATAACACAGTTATGTTGTCCTCACAATGCTCCTGGAAACCTGGAATCTTGGGATTGTGGTCATTGTCTCTGAATACTTGCTTCTATGGCCTAGAGACCCTAACCATGGCACAAGAGGAATAGGAACCTTGGAAGACTCTGACAGCTCTTAGAATTCAGATTTTAATAAAAATTCTCCTGGGAACCCTGGAAGTCCAGTGGTGAAGACTCCATGCTTTCACTGCAAAGGGCCCTGGTTCAATCTGTGGTCTGAG